CTAGTTCAATGACAGCAGTTCTCAGTTGCATTCCCGGCCTACTGTAACAACTACCACAGAGGTCTTCAAAGATACCCAGGGTCCCCTCATGAATGTATTTCTTGCTGCCTTGTTGAAAGAGTACACACAGTTGGGGTGAATAAGCAGATCTTACATGGTTAACCTACTTTACCATTCCTATCTCCCTAAGCCTCTGGGTAGTGTTCCTTGCAGTGTACTGGGAAATGTCTAACATTTCTGGCATTTCAATTTTATTTTGTCCAAGATATTTCTAGATCTGTGTTTTAGCCAACCAACAAGTATACTGTTAGAGCCACTTCCTATAGCTTGAGCTAATATACTAAACCTAGAATCTCTGCATGCTGTACTCATATCAACAAATGTGACCAGACCAACATTACATTCCTTCCACCATGATCCAACACTCTTAGGATCCATTTCCATAAATGTTCTTGGTTTCCTTCAATAACACTGATAAACTTGCAATTCTTCTGGTGCATACTGTACTTTCTTCCTGTGTCACATTAAAGTATTCCCAAACTCCCTGGGGCCTGCCAGGACTTGGTCTGATTACAGAGTCCACTCTATAACCAGTGGAGGTAGTTTCTTAAGATGACCAAAAGCCCTTTGCAAGGCCCTTACCTCAGGGGAGAATATCATGGTCCTTTAGACAAGAAGAGGCTAACATCCTTAGAAAGAGAAGAACCTAATGTTTCTTAAGATATGGAGAAAAGATTTTTCATAGTTCAAAGACAGTTTGGGGATACTTTAGTGATCATTACATTGAACACACCAGGAAAACTGCTAATTTCAATGGAGACAAAACATTGTGTAAGAAAAGAAAAACAATTGCTATATAATGTATGGTTCAATCATTCATAAAGTCATTACAATGTAAATGCTGGATATTGATCTTTCAAAAGTACAACAGAACTAAATCCATATTACTCTCAAAAATCTTTAATTTGAAAAGATGTGATTCTTAGAAATCAATAAATATAAACAGTTAAAAGTTAGTTGCTTGAACATGGTTTTAAACTTTCTATTTTACTGTTTTCCTTTTTATTGTAATTATAATCATACAATTTATTAGAATTTCTTTTCTTTTTTTTTTTTTTTTTTTTTTTTTTTTTTGAGACAGAGTCTCACTCGGTTGCCAGGCTGCCAGGCTGGACTACAGTGGTGTGATCTTGGCTCACTGCAACTTCTGCCTCCTGGGTACAAGAGATTTTCCTGCCTCAGCCTCCCAAGTAGCTGGACTACAGGCACGCACCACCACACCCAGCTAATTTTTGCATTTTTAACAGAGATGGGATTTTACTATGCTGGCCAAAATGGTTTCGATCTCTTGACCTTGTGATCCACCCACTTCAGCTTCCCAAAGTACTGGGATTGTAGGTGTGAGCCACCATGCCCAGCCTCTTCTTTTTTTTTTAAATAAAGTCTTGCTATATTGCCCAGGCTAGAGTGCAGTGATGTGATCTCAGCTCATGGCAACCCCCCCCACATCCTGGGCTCAAGCAATTCTTCTGCCTCAGCCTCCAGAGTAGCTTGGACTACATCCATGCGCCACCATACATAGCTAATTTTTGTATTTTTAGTAGAGATGGGGTTTTGCTATGTTGGCTAGGCTGGTCTTAAACTCCTGAACTCCACGTCAGTACCCCAAAGTGCTGGAATTACAGGCGTGAGCCAGTATGCCCAAACTAGAATTCAAAATTTTAAAGTGTCTTTCTCATCTATTAGAATATGAGTTCTGGTAGATAGTGTTTACCATTAAGTCTTTAGTACATGACACAGTGTCCAGCACAAAGTTGGTTTTAAGATTAATCAAGATGTTCCAATCAGAATTGCTCCATTTCCCATTAGGTAATGCTCAAGCCAGGCTTGCATGCCCACCTTGCACGCCAGGCTTGCTAGTTTCTATTGCTGTTACAAGACATGGCCACAAATGTCATAGCTTAAAAGAAGGTACATTTATTCTCTCACAGTTCTGGAGATCAGAGGTTCAAAATCAGTTTCACTAGAGTAAAGCCAAGATGTCAGAAGAGCTGATTCCTTCTTGAAGCTTTAGAATTCATCTTTTTGCTTATTTTAGCTTCTAGTGGCTACAAAGTTCCTTTGGCTGTTTAAAGTAGCATCCAAGAGCTTGGGAAATAGGAAGTGGACATATTTTAGTGGGGGAGGGACACATTATTCAGCCTACCACCCACCCCTTTGTCGAAAAACCAAAATATGGAAGAGTTAGATCCAAATTGGAAAATGAAGCATAGATGAAGAGACACCACATGAGAGTCAAGAGACCATGTTTTAGATCTGGTGTGGCTACTTCCTAGTGGTGAGATCCTTGATAAACTCCTTCATTTCTTCAAGCCTCCTCTGCAAAATGCTGCAGCAAAGCAGGTGACTTCTTCCCTTCTGTGATCCTGGGCTCCCAGTGGTTATATGCTAGTGTGTGATTTTATTCTCTCCTCATGGCTTCACATGGCCCACATGGCTTCAGGAACACAAAAGAAGTGCAGAAAAAGATTTCAAGACCCCATACCCTGCCACTGTGAATGAAAGAGAGTTTCTTGCTGCTGATTTTCCTCCAGGCCCCCATCCCAGCCTGGTTTCAGTTTTGGTGAGAAGGGAGACAGAGAAACAGATCATGTATGTAACATAACAAGCTCTGAACCCTTCCTCCTTTATGGTTTCTTTAAATACCAACATAGAGTACCCCTTCTCAAAAAACCTAAAACTGGAATATCCTGTCAAACTATAACTATTTATTACCTACACATCCCTTAAAAATAAAAGGAAAATAATAAAAGAGCTAAAATTATTGTCCACTCATCTGGCATGATTTATTACATTTTAGATAACTTTGTCATGAACAAAACTAAATAAAAAATATAGTCTTAGTCACTAGCTGATTGCACACTCACTTAGATTAAGAATTCCAGTCCAAGTGTGGTGGTTCACACCTGTAATCCCAACTTTGGGAGGCCAAGACAGGCAGATCACGGGGTCAAGAGATCGAGACCATCCTGGCCAACATGGTGAAACCCGTCTCTACTAAAAATACAAAAAAAAATAAATAAATTAGCTGGGTGTGGTGGCACACACCTGTAGTCCTAGCTACTTGGGAAGCTGAGGCAGGAGAATCACATGAACCTAGGAGGCAGAGGTTGCAGTGAGCCGAGATCAGGCCACTGCCAACTGCACTCCAGCCTGACAACAGAGCAAGACTCTGTCAAAAAAAAAAAAAAAAAAAAGAATTCCAGAGAGGATCAAAATAGAGCACTTATGCCTTTCAGCCTATCTCAGTGCCTGGCAAGAGTAAGTGGCCAATGAATATGAGATGAATTGAGTCAGGCACATATAATTTTTCCATAAAGTATGGATATGTACATGTGATTTGGAGAAGATCAAGTAGATCTATCTATTTGTGAATGTGCTTAGAAGCACTGAGAGGCGGCTGTGTGTGTGGAATGAAAGTCATTGGTGTGAACGTACCAAAAATTTAACAGCAGAGAGCTTTCAGGGTATGCCTTAGTTTTTCCTGTGTTTCAATAGCCCCTTGACATATTCGAAAAGAAAGAGAAATAGAGACAGATGAAGAGAGGGAGAGATTTGATGAGGAAATAAATGGTTAAAAATAAAGTCAAATCTGAGTGTAAATGTAAGGTTACTAAAACCAAGATAAGAGTCGTCCACAGAAACAACCTGTGCTTTGGGAGGAATCCTCAGGGCAGGGCTGATCTGCTCCAGAAAAGAACTGATCAAAGGAAATGGTTGGTGTTTGGCAAGGTTTTTACTAAAGCCCAGACTCCCTCTAGTGGTCAGACCGAGCAGGACAGCATCCTTACCGGGTGAATGCTCTTCGGGGTTAAATGTCCTTTGGAATCAAGATTGTTCCTGTTTCCTTTTTTTCTTGTTTCTTTTTTCCTTTGTTCTCTTTCTTTCCTTTTTTCTTTCTTTCTCTTTGCTTTTTTCTAAGTGTTTCTTATCTCCTCAGCTTGAAGATTGGATTCCCTTTATCGCTAAAGATGGGAGTTCTGTAGTGCTCCAAGAGTGAGGACAATTATGCTTAAGATGCTTTTGTTTCACTTTAGTCTCAGACCCAGAGAAAAACATTTCAAATTTTTAAAGTAAATCCTTAAAAGTGTAATTTACACCAGAGCAATTGACCTGGCATTTACATAGACTGCAGCTTGAGAAGTAATACAAATGCTTTTCATTCATTCCCTTGGAAAAGTCCTGAGAATGTACTTCCATTGGTCTGAAAAACACCTGAAAAAGAGTTCTGATACGAACTGTAGTGGAAATAAGGGGGCTGAGGGTTCACGATCAGCCTAGTGGTATCCTCTGTTCTATCTGCATCTAGGTAAAGAGACCATGGGCTGTATGTGATCAAACAATTTGTTGAAGCGCTTTGGGCCTAGGGCATTTAATTACTGTGATGTAGGCCCACCACTTATTTGCTCTGTTTTTGTGTCACGTCTCAGAATACATTAAAGTAGGGGCAACCCCTGAACCCAGACTTCTGCCATGTGAAGCCCCTTTGAACATCCTGACAATCACAGACACCACGTAAGTGATCAGCTAATTAAAGAGAGGAGGCGGAGCTGCCTTTTATGTATCCAATAAGTACACATCATCTGACTTAAGCATGAAAAAAGGCCACTGTCATTACTTTTAGGAAGGAAAATAAGCAGGATATCGCATATTTTTAGAATCATTCCTCACCAAATGGAATAATTTCAGTGATAAAGTGGGAGTGAGGAAAGAAGAAAAAAACCTAATCATAATGTTTGGGAATAAGAAAGAAAGAGGAAACGCACGTCAAAGCCCACTTTCTCCTGCAGGTGTAAAATAAAGGGTTAAGACCGTTTCCTGCTGAAATTTTAGGGAGGCAAACGGAAGCTGGCGTGTGGGCTTTGCCGGCCGCCCAGCTCTAACTCGCGGCGCGGGCGCGGCGGGGTTCAGCACCTCGGAAAGCGCCTCTCCCGGCGCCCCGGGCTTACGCATGCTCCTTGAGGCCCACCGCCGCAGCGGTGCAAGTGCCACCGTAACTGGTGGGCGCCACTGGCAACCCACCCGGAGTTGACAACCGCGGAGAGACGCAGACACCCACTGACCTCCAAGGCAGCAGAGCGAGGTGGACAGAACCTTAGGATCTCTTTCTTTCCAAGGACGGAAACCTCTTCTAAGCAGTCCCAGAGGAAACAGCCAAAGGCATTGGAAAGAGAGCGAGCGTCCCAAATCGCACTGCTGAGCGTCTGGGTGAGTTATGCGCCTGTGTCCCAGTGACCGTGGGACACGGAGAGGGGAAGTCTGCGTTGTATATAAGAACCTAGGGACTCCGAGCTTGGCCTGAGAACACTTGGACGCCCAGTACTTGCCTTTGGGGCTGCGCTCCTCAACTCTGCTCCAAAGCAGCCGCGGATCTCAACTCCTGAGTCCAAGGCGGTTGGTTCGCTGTGCGCCAGGACGCGCTTAGTACCCGGTTCCTGAGCTCTATCTTCAGCGGCTACTTTGAAAGCTCCGGCGCACGCCCCGCAGGCTAGCTAGCCTGGGAACAAAACTGGGCGAACCGTGTTCTCTTAGGTCTTGTCCCCCAAAACATGACCTAGAGATACCTGCGCATGCAGATGGCCGATGCAGCCCGGATAGCCACCATGAATAAGGCAGCAGGCGGGGACAGGCTAGCAGAACTCGTCAGTCTGGTCCCAGACCTTCTGGAGGCCGCCAACAGGAGTGGTAACGCGTCGCTACAGCTTGCGGACTTGTGGTGGGAGCTGGGGCTGGAGTTGCCGGACGGCGCGGCGCCAGGACATCCTCCCGGCAGCGGCGGGGTAGAGAGCGCGGACACCGAGGCCAGGGTGCGGATCCTCATCAGTGTGGTGTACTGGGTGGTGTGCGCCCTGGGGTTGGCGGGCAACCTGCTGGTGCTCTACCTGATGAAGAGCAAGCAGGGCTGGCGCAAGTCCTCTATCAACCTCTTCGTCACCAACCTGGCGCTGACGGACTTTCAATTTGTGCTCACCCTGCCTTTCTGGGCGGTGGAGAACGCATTTGACTTCAAATGGCCCTTTGGCAAGGCCATGTGTAAGATCGTGTCCATGGTGACGTCCATGAACATGTACGCCAGCGTCTTCTTTCTCACTGCCATGAGTATGGCGCGCTACCACTCTGTGGCCTCTGCTCTGAAGAGCCACCGGACTCGAGGACACGGCCGAGGCGACTGCTGCGGCCGGAGCCTGGGTAACAGCTGCTGCGTCTCGGCCAAGGCGCTGTGCGTGTGGATCTGGGCTTCGTCCGCGCTGGCCTCTCTGCCCAGTGCCATTTTCTCCACCACGGTCAAGGTGATGGGCGAAGAGCTGTGCCTGGTGCGCTTCCCGGACAAGTTGCTGGGCCGCGATAGGCAGTTCTGGCTGGGTCTCTACCATTCGCAAAAGGTGTTGCTGGGCTTCGTGCTGCCTCTGGCTATCATTAGCTTGTGCTACTTGCTGCTGGTGCGCTTCATCTCCGACCGCCGCTTGGCGGGGACTGAAAGAGGGACCGCAGTAGCTGGCGGAGGCCTGGCCGGAGCCAGTGCCCGGAGACGGTCGAAAGTCACCAAGTCAGTGACCTTCGTTGTCCTGTCCTTCTTCCTGTGTTGGCTGCCCAACCAGGCGCTCACCACCTGGAGCATCCTCATCAAATTCAACGCGGTGCCCTTCAGCCAGGAGTATTTCCTGTGCCAGGTATACGCGTTCCCTGTGAGCGTGTGCCTGGCGCACTCCAACAGCTGCCTCAACCCCATCCTCTACTGCCTTGTGCGCCACGAGTTCCGCAAAGCGCTCAAGAGCCTGCTGTGGCGCATCGCGTCTCCTTCACTCACCAGCCTGCGCCCCTTCACTGCCACTACCAAGCCGGAGCCCGAGGATCAGGGGCTGCATTCCCTGGCGCCGCTCCAAGCGGCCGCGGAGCCAGACCTGCTCTACTACCCTCCTGGCGTCGTGGTCTACAGCGGGGGCCGCTACGACCTGCTGCCCAGCAGCTCTGCCTACTGAGGTCCAGGGCGCGCCGTCGGGGCAAGGTGGCCTTACCCGGGCGGTGAAGGAGGTGAACAGATTAAGGAAGCCTGCGTGTGTGTTGCGGGGGGCGCATTTAAGAAGTAGGTGGGACGAGGATGGGCAGAGCACGGAGGAGCAGCCTGTGTATAGGCCGGAGAACCTTCTCTGGAGAGGGGATGCTTTGAAATCAAATCAAGTGGAGAGAGGAAGCTGGCAAAGGGGCAGAGACGAGTCCCACGGGCCGGACCTTCAACCTCGGTTCCGCACCCCACCGCCTCTCCTTACTCTGCCCACGCTGGGCAGTGTGGGGGCGCCCAGAAGCAGAGAGAAGCAGCAAAAATGTAGAGAAATTGGCACAGGGAGCGGGGCTTAGCCAAATGATGCGCACACAATTGCGCCGGTTTATTCCAGCGACTTTTGCGGAGAGGGCAGCCGCTGCCACAAACTCTCATTTACTACTTGGCTAACGAGACTGCAGCAGCGCCAAGGTCCTGCTTGCTGTCGGGCTGCCCCAAGAATCTTGAGTTGGGAGGCAAGAAACGTTTTTGGAGTTAAGAAAAAGAACTGACCCTTCTGGTCCGCCCCCAGGACAAACGGCAAAGGAAAATCACCTCCCATGGAGTCATTGTACCGATTGTCATTCCGGATTGCGCTAGCAGGAACATGCTGAGCTGGACCTAGCTGCAAAGCCGGGGAGCGCAAACGTTAACAGGGGGATAACACCTGTCACAAGCTTGGGAGAGCGATTCTTTGGGGAGTGGCATCACTGCCGGAGGGAGCGGACACAGTGTGATTAGAAGGGCTGGATAGGGAAACTTCTTCAGGCTGCTGCCCCGAAAGGTAAAAGGGGGCTCATATGCTCACTCGGTAGCAGAGTTGGAAGTGGCGCGCTGGTGCATTGGGCGCTGCAAGCCCAGGCGCTCCATTTCCTCTGAGAGCACCTTGGGTGCCTGTAGGCACTCTGGTCTGTGTGCTGCCGGTGAGCTGGGCCCAGGAGCATCCTCAATAGCTCTACTGGGCGGAGTGGGGGCACTTCTGCAGTTCCTCCCTTCCCATGCTTTGAGAATCAAGCTGTCCCTTTGACTGAGGCTCTGGACCTGCGAGTAGAGGAATGGTTCAGTATTTTTTGTTTGTTTTTTGGTGCCGTTCCTTTTGTGGGGGTAGGCTTAGATAGAAGAGCAAGAAATGCCGCCGAAACGTGCAAGGGGAATGGCGGCGGCGGGATGGCAGAGCGCGGAATCATGGAAACCAAATTTCTAGAAGCTTGGTCAGATCTTTCAAAAGGAGGCGTGGGGTAGGAAAGAAAATAGAAGGTCCATGTACTCTGTCCTAAAGGGAGCAAAGTACTGGAGAAAAACCAGAATTTCAGGTGTAGGCTTCTTTATTGCTTATATTATTGACAAGAGAAGGTAGGAAATAGAAATTCCCATCGGACAGTACCATCACCAATTTCCATTTATTATGAAGAGTGCTTTACACAGTGAGCATGCATGACAAATTCTTCCCCAGCTTCCAGACAGTTTATGGAGCTGACTCTGAAGACACACAGTTCTCATGTCGACTCTGTTCTTATCACAGCAGTTTAAGGTGTTAAAACCCTCACAATGTCCTTTCTTGAGGCTCTTCTGAGAACTGGAATCAAACATCCGTCTACCCATCCAACTGCCAGCTTTGATAGAGGTATTACTGCTCTCTTTGGCAACCTAGTTTGGGGTCAGGAAATCAATGATGCAGGCACCCACTGGGGTGGTTAATTTAATATAATAAACAGCCATTCATAAAACATGTCTGTTGAAAGAGCCTCTTGCAGAGAATTGTTTAGTAATGTTGTTGAAAGTTTTCTGTAGTATCAGAGATTCAGGGTTCAAAATGTGAGATCTACAACTTCCACCTTCCTTGCCCTGCCTTCTGTGATTGTAAAACACAGTGCAGTGACTAGACACTCATGCCTTCCCACAAAAGCAAAAGTTGCCAGTCTCTATCCTGAGCAATCTTGACAAGTCAGCTCTTTTAGAAAACAGAATGGTGTGTTTGTTTTGAAGTAGTCCATTTTTTTCTTCACCCTTTGGGAAGAACATTTATTGATATTGATATTGAATAGCAATTGGGCTAACAAAGAAGCTCCAGGAAAGTTCCCCAAATACAAAATTCATGAAAAAATAAACACAGGAAAGAGCTAACAGGAGCATGGTAGCAGATTCATATGTAACACTGATAATAGACTCCTATTGAGAAAGTCTTATCAAAGCTCCTTGCCATTTCAATTTTAACAGTAAAATAATGTGTGGGTAGCTCACAATTTTTAGGAAAGCGTGTTGAAGTATGTACATCCGTGACTATGGATGCTAGAAAAACAGAAGAGAAGGAGCTGGAGGAATGGTCTTAAAAATAAAAAATAAAAAAATAAAAAAACCTCTGTAAAAAGGGTCACTTTGTCCAAATCCCAAGCTCAGGGCTTCTAAGAACATGGCAGGAGGGATCAAAGATCGTGACTTTGGTCTACCACAAGGACAAAGGGTCACCAAGGAAATGCGCAGATCAACTGTAATCAACAATTACTTTCTGAGCGCCTGTTGTGTGCCAACCCCTGTGCGGGGTACTGAGGTCATGTACATGAACCAGAGAAATTTCTGACTTCCACATGTAAAAGGACAGACGGCCATGAGCACAAGCAAGATAAGACAGTTGAATGTCAAAATAAGGCTGAAAGAAAAACAAAGGAAGGAAAGGTTGATCCTGCTAGGAGATCAGACTTCCTGGCCAAAATAATATTTGAGAGAGGCCTAGATATCTGGGTACAATTTAGGCAGAATGGCAAAGGTGGGTTGGGAGGAAGAGAGGATATTCAAAGCTCATAAAATGTGGTGACTAAAAGCTTTGATGCTGGAATGTCAGATGCTTGGTGGGGGGAGCAGGAAGCAAAGTAGTAGGGATTCTTGTACTCCTGTACGATTTCCCAAGATTTCTGTTGAGAGTATGTGCCCTTGTACTAACTTTATTTGTCTGGGGAAAGGAGATTTCTTTTGCCAGAAAGAATATGTCATTGTTATGCAGAGAACTTAGATACCTAAATGTGGTGGAAGACTTTTGATTTTTGATTATATTTATTCATTCAAACATCAAGGGAGTTTAATTCAATAAGCATTTGCATATTTGTGTGTGTGTATGCATGCAGGCACACACATGTACCCTGTGGTTAGTAAGGGATGACTACACTTGACTTCTTGGGGATTTAATAAGATGACCCTCAGCTATGGGCCACCTTTCCAGCTGGCCCGCCTATTCATTCCCAAATCTTCACACATCAAAACAGCTCTTGGAGAAATGGGCAGGAAATAAACACTGAACCCTGGAGAAGATTCCATTTCTAAACCTTGCAGAGATCAAGTACAGGTAGGGGAAGCAAGAGAGATGGCTTGTTGCTGTTTCTTTTCTAATGATAAGAGCTATGTGCCATGAGGTCCTCTGAGCATTTACTCATCCTCATCCCACACAATGGGGTTGGGAGCAGGTGTTTTCCCTAATGGCTTCTCTAAGTGAGTCATTAACTTATTTCTCCAGGATGGATGATGAAGGGGGCTGAGAGGGTGGAGTAGGGAATGGGTAGCTTTGCATATATTCTGTAAAAAGAATAAGATTATTTTATTTGGGAGTGAATGTACTAATAGAATACAGGAGGACCTGACTGGGAAGCAGAAAATGAGAAGCACCCATGTGGAGAGGAAGCGAGCAAGGCTTGGAGGGTGATAAGTAAAACAGCATGCTGAAGCCTGAGAAGACAGCCTTGCTGGGTCTGGAAAACACCAGAGATTTGGGAGAATGGGACACACTGCAGGAGTCTGGATATGGAAGCCACATGTCCTGCAGGTGACGAGATTGAACATGGAGTGGGAAGAAGTGGTCACTTTAGCAAAAGCCCCTGCCCTCCATTGTTTCCCCTGACATACACACCAGAAGTGGCCAGATTCACGGGGAAATTTCAGATGCCCTGCTCCACACCCCTAGCACTGCCTCAGTCACAGGTGCAAGAACCAAGTAGCAGCAGAGAGTGGGTTCTTTAAAGGCAAAGGAGGCAGTCATAGAATTGAAGCAACAAAGAGGAAGCCCAAACAGCAGCAGAAGGAAGAGAGCGCATGTGAGATATCAGGGATGCCACTGCCTTTTGAGACCTTGGAGAGATTAGGAAGGAGAAGGAGGCTGCAGCACAGAATGACAACAAATGGCTCTGTGATCCTAGGCTGGCTGACTTCGGTAGGTACTGCCCTTAGACCTGGGCAGCCAGGGCCCCCGGTCTGGGTGTCATCATTAGAGGACCCTGTTCTGCCCCTGCCCCTTTCCACATAGCAAGGAGTTCACAAGGCCTCCTGGAGCCTGTGCCTCCCCCATCTTCCCACCTGCTAGATTATGCTTCCGTAGCTGAGACCTTGGACTCCTTGTCCAAATTGCCGAGTTTATTTATAAGGAATCCATGGGTCCTTTCTTGAGTCCGTCCTCCAGAGCAAAGTCCATGCTGCTGAGTCTGTCCACCCTTAGGTGGTTAAGGGTGGCCATTTGTAGAAGCGGCAGAGGGTGGAGGCAGGTGGGAGGTTACAGATGTGGAGCAGAGAGAAGAGTGGGGGAAGCAGAGAAGAGGGATGGGCTGTGGACCACGTGCCTCCATTCATGTTCTTGCCCTGGACCCTGCAGATGTGAGCAGCTGTCTGAAGGAGGACCCAAAACCCAGCAAAAAAACAATCAGAGCAGGCCTGCTCTTCTCGGGAGGCTACAAATGAGCTGACACTGCAGGGGCCTGGCCATGCTACAGAATCCACTCATTCTCCTAGGCACTGGACACACAGAAGTAACACCCCAAATCCCAAATATCCCAGTTCTAAAAAGCAGCTCATTTCCCTTCTCCACATTCCCTTCCAGCACCAAAGATTTCGGTCAGTTACAAGTTGAGCTAAGACAATAACTACTCTACCAGACCCTAAATCAAGTAGGAAGAGGAACCACCCAGTTCTTCTAACTTCTAAAAGCGTGGGCAGATCTCTATTCTGCACTGGTCAGGCACATTCAGGGTTGGGTAGGCAAATACTTAAGACTGGGGCAGATCTAGTGGGGACAGGACAGGGAGTCGTTAACAGTAGTGACAATCGCTAGCTCCAATCAAATGCCAGACACCAGGCTAAGTGCTGTCCATTCAGAAAGCAGCAGAACCAAAGTGGCTGGGCTCAAAGCGCAGCTCCATCACTTAAGAATTGTGTGGTTTCAGACAAGTTATATCTTTCGGCCTCCATTTCTTCATCTAAAAAATGAAGATTGGTAACAGCACCCACCACAATTGCTGTGTTCACGTTAAAACATCTAGAATAGTGGTAAGGACTCCATAAATATCATGGTTTGTGTTTTGTTGTTTGTTTGTTTGTTTGCTTGCTTTGAGACCAGAACTCGCTTTGTCTCCCAGGATGGAGTGCAGTGACGCAATCATAGCTCACTACAGCCTCGGTCACCCAGGCTCAAGCAATTCTCCCACCTCAGCTTCTCCAACAGTTGAGACTACAGGCATGCACCACTATGCCCAGCTAATTTTTAAAATATTTTTTGTAGAGAGAGGGTCTCCCTATGTTTTCCAGGCTTTTCTTGAACTCCTGGCCTAAAGTGCTGGATTACAGGCATGAGCCACCATGCCTGAACCAATGTTATGTATTATTAATCATCACAACTCTCTGAGATAGCAATTCTCATCACAAATATATACGTGAGCAAGTGTGTCTTGGGGAGATTACATAGTTTGCTGCTGAGTGGCAAAGCCAGGATTCAAAACCAGCTTATTCCAAAACATGATTTTTATTAAACCATGCTGTCTCTTAAAGTGGCTGAAAACCTCACCATGGGGAAAGCAGTTGAAGAGGTATGGTTAAAGAAAAACTACTTAGCTTGGAGAAGAGAAGATCAAAGGAGAAACAGGGGGCTGTTTTTTCCAAAGACTTTCATATCAAATCCAGAGGACAAAACAAGGATGCAGACTAGAAAGAAATATTTTTACTGTGTCTATGAAATGAACTATTTTAAAGTGGTGAATCCTCCAGCATGAGATGTTCAAGTAGACTTGTCAGGGGTATCATAAAGTAATAGGAATTATGAGCAAATTAAATATGAATAAATTAATATCAGAGAAAAAATTACTAGTAATATTTTGAATAGTTGTGAATTTGATGAAATATATGACCCCCCGGCTGGGCGTGGTGGCTCACGCCTGTAATGCCAACACTTTGGGGGGCCAAGTCAGGCGGATCACCTGAGGTCAAGAGTTCGAGACCAGCCTGACCAACATGGAGAAACCCCATCTCTACTAAAAATAGAAAAGTAGCCGAGTGTGGT